GCAACATACTGTTCGAGCTTATTGCTCGTACTATGTAGCAGCTTTCGTCAAGCGTTCCTCCTGTCTTGACAGTAGGTGCGCATATCTGACAGCCGTTACAAAAAGTAGTTTAGTAGAGTCTTAGCAAAAGTAAGTAACTTAGGTGTGTAAGCAACTTGCCTGTGAAGTACGTTATTGCTAAGTCTTGCAATTGCTTGCTAACCCTTGCGATTGATATTATCCCTGTCCCTGCATATACTCTATACTTGTTTGGGGCGTCACGTGATGTGACCATTGTAGGCCGTGCCCTCACTAGCGTCGGTCCGTCCTTCCTCCGTGGGGTTGGAGACCCGCGTGTTCCTCTGGCCCAACCAGTGGCCGTCACACGAAGCTTGACAGTGATTCGTCTCTTACAATACACTGCTATTTCTCCAAGACCTTGCTCTCAGTGCTATCCGTGCTACCTACATCCCATCTTTACAGTAGAGGCATAGTAGTTTAAAGTTTGCTAGGTGTAGAACGTTACTTAGGGTGGGCAGCCTGCCTGAAGTGGCAGCTTGCTTGTAGAGAATGTTACACTTGTTTTAATACATGTCTTCTCATTATGCAGCATCAACGCTAAGGAGGGACACGGAAACTCGGACTAAGACAACCAATAACAACGCTCCAACTTTAACAAGGGTCTCATGCCTGAGCCTTGTGCTGTAGACAATTGATCTTCCATCAAGCCACCATTCGAAATCCTCCTCAAGAAATTAATAATAAACATTTGTCTAGACATTGTGCCTTAGATCATGGTATCATCAAGTGACATAAAGTCATACATCATTCAAGGTAGTCCAGCAGGTGACCCCGATCGACCTATGTAATCACCACTAACATGGCCAGAGTCGCGAGATGAGGGGGGAGGGGTAAGATTCTTCTCCCACTCTTTCATCAAATGTGAGGCGGTCCGCTTCAGATTCGTCGGAGAAAGCTTGACTAGGTCCGGCCATGGGATAGACTTGCGCTTAGGATCACCCATAGAGGTTTCGTCAAAGGTACCGACAGAGCTGGACACGGTAAGCGATGATGCCTTAGAGTCATGACGCTTTGAGTGGTACCTGGTGCTAGTTCTTGCACTGCTTCGACCTGAGTTACCTGACACCGATGACGATGGTGCATCGGATTCATCAGAGGAGCTACTGCTGGGTTCTGGCTGTGCGGCATATTTTTCGTTCGGTGTATCCCAGCTATCCCAGCTCTCGAAGTCTTTGGCTACTTCTGGCATAGGTTTTTGAGGCGTTCGAGTACTTTTGGCATGCGTTTTCTTATTCGGGGGTGTGGCTTTCGGCTCACTCAAGCCGTTTGCTTTCCAAAAGTCGTCCGCGATGTCATCCGTATTTGTTGCAGGGGTATTCTGTAAGCTTGAGGCTCTGTTCAAAGCTGGCCGAGCCTCGGAGGTCTTCCGATTGTTTTTGATGGAAGGACTCCTGACACCAAGAGACCCTGAACCATCGACACCAATGATCGCCTCATCCCCAACAGTAGCTTGACGAATGTCTTCAATGAACGTCAGTAGTCCGTCCTTGAAATCAGTCGCCATTTGCTTCCCGGTGCGAAGGAGTGCATCGCGTTGGATGGCCGAAAGACCACCCAAATCATAACGGTCATCGTTGATGGTATCGGTGATGTGATTGGCATTACCAGGGGAAATCGAATTGCGAGCGAGGGTTTGCGGTCGCTTGTTTGCCTCGTCCTTGGGGTCGTCGATGTCGAGTGGTTGGGGGAAGGATGGAGAAAAGTTTTGCTCAGGAGAGAGCAAAGACAAGGTCCGCATGTGTCGTGAGCCACTGAATACCTTCCGCGACGACGTCTTCGTGCCACTGAGTAGGCTCTTCCTGCGCTCCATTTCCTTCTGAAGCCACAGCGTGGACCCGTCATCGTCATCTTTGTCTAGTGGGTACTTGGTGATGGTGGTATTGAGGGGCTGCAGCTGAGTGACATTCTTAAGCTCGTTGCGTTGCTTGACAGACTCGTGCGACGCCCAGTGGGACTTGAGGCTCTTGAGATCGCTCTCGGCTTTGGCAAGCTCTTCTTTGAGCTCTAGGACGCGGCGTTCCTGAGCGGCGAGGACGGCGAGGAAATTGCCCTCGGTTGGCGAGGGGATGACGCCAGGGGAGAAAACGGGGGTAGAAATGATGGGAGTGGATACCCAGGACTGCGGGCGTGAACGAGGAGAAAAGGCTGGTGAAGGGCTGCCGGCAGCTGGCTGAATGGGAAAGTGCAAGGACAGGCGCTTGCCCTGTTTGACGACGTCGGCATGCGACATAGAGCGAGCGTGAGAAGGCATCAAAGGGGTGGGGGAAGAATGAGAGAGCGTGCTGGTGGACGAAGGAGAGTTGGATGAAGATGGTAAAGGACCAGGAAGATGTTTGGACGGCGGGCCAAGATTGTTTGGGGATCCCCCTGATGGTGGCAACGGCAGCATATGGTCCTTGTCGTTCAGGGTCATGGATCGCTTACGGGCAACGCCCTTGGACCTCGGGTTCAACATGGAGGGCAAGAGTGACTGAGGAGTGTCCATGACATCTGATCCTCCAACAAAGAAGATGGTGTTCATATCATGGCCTTTCTTTTTGTTGACGACGCAGAAGGCTGGGAAGCGCAAGCGGCGAGAAAGTCGGTGGAGGATAAGCGAAGTCGCGGCGGGTGAGCTGCCGTAAATCTCCAGGTGCAGGGCCAATAAAGCGGCGGGCAGTCCAAGCAGCCTCCACAGAAAACCACTCCGCAGCCACGACAGCCACGCTTTCAACAGAGCTGAGGCGGCGACGCAGGAACCCATAACACAGTCATTGAAGGTGAAGAATGCATTGCTCGATGGCGGCGCGGGAGGGGTAGAGAAGGCGAGAATTCGGGGTGTCCACACGGCAGCGGGTCACGCAGTTTTTGTGTTTGTTCACGCGTGGTGGTCCGAGTCAGCACGGAGCACACAGGCTGCAAAACAAATTTGCATTCCCTGCAGGATTCGACAGGAATCGGCCGGAATAGACTCAGCCTGCGACGACGAGCCTAGGATAGAACCGGATGCATATTCTTGGCGTCGCTGTGGTGCATGATGTGAAAGTGCGGTGACAGGCGGTGAGAGGATATGCGAGCTACCGCAGAGCGCCATGGCCTCTTGAGCCAGCGTTGTGTCGCCAACGCCCGCGGATTGATTGCCGGCGGCAAACACTTGCAGCGGCAGGGCATGGACTTCATAATGCGGGCAGGATCTGTTTTTTAATCGACGGGCAGACAGGTGGTGTTGAGAAAAGAAACGCGCTTTCTGGTGAAAAGTTCAGCTAGCTTCCGCATTCGGAATGCAGACGAACACACAGGTGTGTGCGGCTTGGGCTCAGGAAACGGAGAGGGACCGCAGCCATGGTGAAACATGTAGACAAAATTGCCCTTCTCTATCAGGTTCCCGTGGATTCTGTCTCCTGTGCCGCCTGGAATGGATGGAAAGGGTGGTTGGTGGTGGTGATGCCGTGTGTGATTGGCCAATGCTCCGCTTGCATCAATAAGCAGCAGCTTTTCCCCAACTTTCGCACCGCGACGGCCCAACTGGGTAGTGCCGCACCTAAATGCCATTCCCACGTTAACTCACAGATTGGCGCCGATGCTGGATCTCTTTCAAAGCCCAACCCACTGCGGGTAGCGCGATGTATGCATGATGAATCTGTGGCTGTGGTTCACCCGTGATGCGTTTGGGGGAGGCCCTGCTGCAGGTACAGCCTCTGATATGGCCTCGCTTCCTGTCGATATCTCAAACCGCAGCTGCGAAACAACACGGCGGCCATCTCGATTGCAGAACAGAATTCCCGTGAACTTTAGTAATGACATTCACGCTCACCACAACTCTATCACAACTTTCTCACACGAGTCGTTTATGTGAGTGTGTGCGCTTGTTGATCCATTGTCACCGGCCGCCCGTTGCCATGGGAAACGAAAGCGAGCTCGATTCGACAAACCTCATTTGAGGCAGAGTAACAAACCAGCTCCCACGCCCACACCCAACCCCCCTACTTTTATCATTTCTATTTGCATTGATGCTCCAAAGCGGCTGCATCTCTTCTGTCGATCTGGCTTCCATCATCCCGTAGCCATTCTGGACGCTTGTGTTTTTCCTAAATAGCCTCATCTCAACAACATAGGCTGTCATGGCTGAGAACTACCAAGTGTTGGAGGAGTTGGGCAGTACGTCTCACTTACCACTCACCTGAGCCTCCGTGTCTAACGGATGTGACAGGTGGTAGCTTTGGCACCGTATACAAGGCCATTGAGAAGACGACGGGAGAGCTCGTCGCCATCAAGCATGTACGCTTGTATTCCCAACGCATTCCTCCGCACACACCTACATACTGACACTATCCTAGATTGACCTCGAGCAGAGCACCGATGAAATACACGAGATACAGAGCGAGATATCCCTGCTGAGCACCTGTCTCAGTCCTCATGTCGCACACTACAAGACAAGTTTTGTGAAGGGTGTCAAGCTATGGATCGTCATGGAGTACTTGGGGGGGGGATCCTGTCTAGACTTGGTGGGCCGGATGTCCCAAACCTCTGTGCTGGTGTGGAGTTGACATTGGCAGATCAAACCTGGACCATTTGGGGAAGCCCATATTGCTATTGTGTGCCGAGAGCTCCTTCTCGGCCTTGACTATCTGCACACATCGGGGAAGATCCACCGAGACATCAAAGCCGCGAACATTCTTCTCTCCCAATCGGGCAAGGTCAAGATTGCCGACTTCGGCGTCGCAGCTCAGCTCACCAACATCAACTCACAACGCTTAACCTTCGTTGGAACCCCGTTCTGGATGGCGCCAGAAGTCATTCAAGAGGCCGGTTATGACTATAAAGCCGACATTTGGTCTCTTGGAATTACCGCCCTCGAGATGGCCAACGGCGAACCACCGCATGCCGGTCTGCATCCCATGAAGGTGCTTTTTGCGATTCCAAAGACCCCTGCTCCGCGCCTGGAGGGCACCCGGTGGAGCAAAGACTTCAAAGAATTTATATGTCAGTGCTTGATCAAAGACCCTGACCGGCGAGCGTCAGCAAAGGAGCTGCTCCGGCATCGGTTCATCCAACGAGCTGGGAAAGTCGAAGCTTTGCGCGAGTTGATCGAGCGAAAACAACTGTATGATGCACAGGAAGAACGTACCTCCCACCCCAAGTATTACGAGGAGACAATGGTTGATGTCTCTCCACGATTTGAGCAAGACGAGTGGATCTTTGACACAATTAAACAAGCCACCGTCGCTCCTGCCCGCCACTCTGCTAAACGCCGTAAGATGGCGCGCATTCCATCCAGCGAAGCTACCGCTTGTGCAAACATGATGCAGCGCATGGATCTCAGCGCAGCACCCCTCGGGACTGTGTCCAACTCTCCAGTCCCAGAATCTTGTCGCCAGTCACTCTCTCGCAAGTCCTCTGCTACTACAGCCATTCGTGTATCTTCAGGTTCGACACCAACTGCTCGTCGAGTCAATAACCAACCTCAGGCGCCGAAGCAACCGCTTGGAGTCGATCTCTCATTTGGCAACTCCCCATCCACTGTACGACAATTTAAACGCGTTTCGTCTGTTGAGCATCGAAGCGCTCTTGCGTCTAATCCTCCTAATAGCGCCTTCGTTCCGAATCCCCAAGCTCAGACTTTCCGCCCATCGCCGCCGAACTCCGCTCACCCTCTAGATATTAACAATGAGAATGAATCTCCTGCACATTACCCTCTGACGCCGGTCACGAGGGATGCCCTTTACGGAAGGCGAGCATATAGCAAGGTTCTTGACTCTGTATTCCAAGAAGCTCATGCCCAGTCGGGCTCTGAGCATCAGCGTGAAGCTATGGCACGAGTTGCACATGCCTGGTCGCAGCTTGATCAGGTTGATCCACAAGGCGAATATCTCCTCTTGAAGGCAATGATCGACAGGCTACAAGGTGATTCAAGACTCGCTTCTGCCCTCGGCATTAGCGCCTGTCCTATTTCAACTCCTATCAAGCACAACACAAAGGTGAGCGACACCAGCCTCAGCGGTTCCACTGTGCACGGCACTAGCACTACGCGTATCCGGTCCAACACGACGAACCACTCTACACCCTCGATGGACTCGTCATTCGAGATTAATCCAACCCTGCCACCGACTTCCGTACTCGCCCCACTGTCTACTCCCAACGGCAATTCCTCGTCTCCGCAAAAGGGTCCACGACTACTTCTAGCCCAAAACAATCCACATCTGAAGTCCCACCGTCGCCGTCAAAGCGCTATGATTGGAGGTGATAATGTCTTTGGCGTTGATGTGTTTGCAGGCTTGGATGAGAAGAAACTGCCGGGTCACGTGGAACGCGGGATGGAGTCTCACGGCCTATTAGCAGATGTTTTGTATGGGCGATGGATGGAGGGCTTGAGGAGTAGGTGGCCCTTGGCGTAATCGCGAGCTTCACATAGATAGTAGGTGTGAATATTTGGATATTCTGTTGTGGCGACAGTGAATTGTTTCCGTCCTTGAATTCTGTCACTACATCCGATCATCATCACCTCCTTGATCTAGTTTGACCCATGAGGTCAATAAGACCAGATGTCTAAGAGAGTCTGGGCTAGTTCATTTTTCTATCAGTTTCTGGGCATCATTCTAACATTCGGATGTTTGCATATTATATTTAGTTCAAGGCTAATCAGCTTGTCATGGACGCGTTATGATTCCCACGAATGCCTCTTTTTTTGCATGTAGAATACTTCGCATTCATACCGGAGCTTTAGGGTTTTTGTAAGCATAATCATGGGTCTTGAGTAATTGAGTTTCCTCTTCACGTAAAGGGTGGTGACAGGGACGTGGAAGAAGAACATAGAACTGGAGAGTATAGAATTTCGTGTACAACATGTACAATGGATTGGCGAATCCCATGAATGCGTATCTTTGACCCCCTTCTGAATTGATATATCTGCACAGAGAAGCTAGAGTATTTGACATATGAACCTGATTTAACTTAAAACTTCCTTGAGGTTCATAAACCATGCGAGGATTACCTAGTCTAAGACCACAGTAATAAACAGTGCGCAGCGTTCGTGATTCATGAGACTTAAATATTTGCAGGGACTGCGCTAATAAGAGAGGAGTATTGTGACGGAGCTGCTTGACAAGATCCTCTGCTACTGTTATGACCGTTGGTTGGGCCAGCAGCACACTGCTAAAGGTGCTTCCTAGTTATCTTACAAGTCAACCGCTCTACAGATGATTTTGCGCTAATACTATTTTAGATTAGACAAAACTTCTAAAACTTCTTAGCTAATTAAAACTTCTAGAGTTTTCTAGGCTAATTAATAGCTAATTACTAATAACATGTAAAATTATCTATAGTGTCACAGTATCCTCCCCAGATCCCAGACATAACCGTATTGGACGCGTACTAGAGTATTATTAGTGCACGTCTGACACAAACACAACACAACATAAACATAAACTTAAGCATAAACTGCTTTAACACTAACTAAACTTAAAACAGGCTTAATTTATACTTAAAGCACTTAGACTTTTAAGCTAAGTATTTAATTACTAATTTCTTTTTAAACTTTTTTATTTTTTACATAACATCTTATACTTACTATAATACCTTATGTAGTAATTAAACTAGACCTTTGTAAAGCTTTATAACTTTACTTATACATAATTATAACATTATGTTGTGTTAAAACTTTAGCTAAGAATAGCCTCTAAATCTAACTTAATAAGCTTAGTACTTACATAACTTTAAGCTATTAAAGTAAGCTAAAAAGCCTTTTAAAAAGCGCTTACTTTATAAAAAAGCTACTATATTATAAGCTTTAAAGCTTTTTAAAAAAACTTTAAAAAATAGCTTTATATTATTAAGTAGTCTATTTCTGCCTTAACTTTTATTATAGTAGTAAGAACTAAGAACTTACTAGCCTTAAAGCTTACTTAAAAGTCTAGAGATAGCTTAACTTTTTTTTACCTAACACTACTTATAACTTATAACTTTTTTAACTTAGTAATAAAATCTAACTAACTCTTTAATCTTTTACTATTTAATAAAAAATAAAAAGACCTACCTTTCTTCTTATATAAGCTCTAATATAAACTTAAAGAAAACATAGACTAATTTCTTTTTAAACACTTTTAGTTACTATATGCTTACTTTTAACTTAACTATAATATAACAGCTTTAATTAACTTACTAATAAATAAAAATATTATTAACTTAAATTAATTTATAGTGTTCTTATAAGTAACTTATAAAAACTTAAATAAAAAGTTAACAGCTTTAAGTTACTTAAACACTTTATAATAATAAAAAAAAAAGCTTTACTTTACACTTTACTAAGTTCTACTAACTTATATTTAATATAGGCCTAAATAAAATAGGTCTAATTATAGCTTTATATAACTCCTTCTTAACTAAACTATAACGCGCTATAGTAGAAGAACCCCTTCTAAACAACCTTAATATGTATGCAAACCTAATTACTACCTATAATAATAACATAAAGTTCCTCTCTATATAAGCCTTAATACGCCTCTAAACTAGCGCAGTTATAAATAAGAACTTTAATATAATAAAAATTAATTTAAATTATGCTTTAGTTAGTTCTAAAAAGTGTAAAAATTATAAAAAAAAAAGTTAATACTTTAAGTATAGTAAGTATAGTTATATTTTTTAAAACTACTTTATTCTCTTTTTTTAAGTCTACATAAGTAGTGCTACTAGCACTTATTAAAAATTCTTACTATTTTAATTTTATTTTTATAAAAGCTTTAACTTATATTTAAGCCTTAATCTTTCTTACTACTCTTAACATAGCCGCAGCTATAGCAGTAGAAGCCTGTAAAAAGGCTTGTTCTAGGGCTAAGTTACCCTTTAGAACTAATTTAACACTAGATTTCTACTAACTTATAAGCTAAGTCCCCTACTAATAACTAAAAGTACTAAGTTAATATTTTTATATATTTATAATAAAAAACTATATTAGCCTTAATATAAGCTCTTATTAACTTAGAAGTAAATAGTATAAGTTACATTAATAAAAAACTAGTGTGTAAACTAAATCTTTAATTAACACTACTTACCTAAATAATTTACTTAACTAGATTTAATAAAAAATAACTTAAAAAAAGTTCTATTTTTTATACTATAACTATTATAATTACTTACTAACACTATAAGGAGTAAATTAAGCTCTATATAATAAACATAAGACATTATAACCTAATTCTAGGATAACTATAGCTATATTAGCATAAGGTTACCTTTAATTACTAAAAGTAAGTTTTAAACTTTAACTTTTTCTAATGCTAAAATATATGCTTACACTTACATCTAAATAATACTTAAATAGCACTTAATATAAAAGGTTTCTAGACTTACTTTTTAATAACCTAAAAAAAAACTACTTAAGTAAGGCTAATAAGCTAAGCCTTTTACTAAAATAGGCTATATAAAATAATTTAACAACTATTTAAACTTAAAAAAAAAAGCCTTTAAAGAACCTTTACTTACCTAATTTAAACATAAACTAGAACTTAAATAGTAAATAGACATCTACTACATAGAACCTGCCTTATTTATAACTCTAGCTTAATAACTAGATTATAAAATCTACGCAGTTATAATTTTTTTAATATAGACTAAGCTTTAGCTTTTTAAAAACACACTAACTTAAAAATAATAGTCTCTTAAAACTACTATAACCTATTATATATCTTTTTTTAAAATAAGTTTAATAAGCTTTTAATATAATATCTATATAATTACTAAATAACTCTTAAGCCTAGCAAACAACCTAGTTATAGGCTACTATATAAAATGTTACTAAATAAATTAAAAGTGCTCTAAAAATACCTTAATAAAAACCTAGAAAAAGGGTTTATTTAAGCTAGCTTTTTACTAGTAGTGTTACTTATACTATTTATAAAGAAACTTAAAAGTAGGCTTTAATTCTATATTAACTACTAAAGACTAAATACTATTACTATTAAAAACTAATACTTAATTTTTTTTATATAGAAAACTTTAAGCTAACTAAGTAAAGTAAAGTATTTTATAAAGTTAGATATTATTACTACCTTTAATAAGCTAAAGATAGTAAAAGGTAATAAGTAGCTAATAGCATTTTAGACCTAATATAGACTATTTAAGTACCTAGTAATGCCCTTTAGCTTAGCTAACACACTTAGTACTTTTTAACATTTTATAAATAACTTGCTCTAACTCTACCTAGACATGTTCTGCACTGCGTATATTAATAATATTCTAATTTACAGTAATAGCCTTTTAGAGCACAAACAGCATGTACGCCTAGTGCTAAAGGCTATAGAAGAAGTAGGTCTATAACTTAATATAGATAAATGTAAGTTCTACTAATTAAAGGTTACATATTTAGAATATATAATTTTTACAGATAGCATCTAAATAGACCCTATTAAAGTTTAGACTATGCTAAATTAGTAATATTTAAAGAATATAAAAAATGTTTAAGCTTTTATAAAATTTACTAACTTTTACTAATAATTTATTAACAACTTTTTATAGCTAGTAAGCACTATAATTACACTTACTAAAAAAAAAGTTTAATTTAACTTTAACTTAAATTACTAACAGTCTTTTAACTAGCTAAAAAAAGCCTTTACTAAAGCTTTAATACTCTACTACTTTAACTTTAAACTACTAATACTTATAGAAGCTAATGCCTTAGACTACATAGTAGCAAGAGTTCTCTTCTAGACTAAGCTAGATAAAACTATTAGGCCTATTACATACTTCTTAAAAAGAATAAGTCTTATAAAAGGTAATTATAAGATCTATAATAAAAAATTACTTGCTATAGTATGCTGCTTTAAACAATAGTAACCTAAACTAAAAAGTGCAGCGCATCTAATATAGGTTTTATTTAACTATAAGAACTTGTAGTACTTTATAACTATAAAACAACTTAGCTACTAATAAGCTTATTAGTTTAAATACTTATCTTATTTTAATTTTAAGATTACTTATTATTCTAGTTAAGATAGAGGGAAGCTAGATGCTTTTATAAGGCAATTCTAAGACGTCCTTGCTTAAAAAAAAGTGTAAAAGGCTTAACACTAAACTCTACTTTAACTTAAGCTATTTTTAGACCTTAACTTAAATAAAATAGATTAGATAATTAATTAAATTATTACTAATAAGTATTTAAATAATAAATTTATCTAAGAAACCTTAGACCTGCTCTAAAACAGCGCTAGTTAGTTAAAGAAGGTAACACTAGCTAACTATAAAAACTAAAATAGTAAGCTATATTACTATAACTAACTTATAATTCTTAATTTTAATAAACTAAGAATTAAACTACTCTAAATTATACACAACTTGCCTATTAGAGGACACCTAGGCAGAGGAAAGACTCTTAACCTACTATAGAGAGAGTACTACTAGCCCCGCATGTTCTATACTGTACGCTAATACTGTTATGATTGTGCACAAGTAAGGTTATAAAGCTTTACAGAGGTCTAGTTTAATTACTACGTAAGGTATTATAGTAGGTATAAGACGTTGTGTAAGGAATAGAAAGGTTTAAAAAGAAATTAGTAATTAAATACTTAGCTTAGAAGTCTAAGTGCTTTAGGTATAAATTAAGCTTATTCTAAGTTTAGTTAGTGTTAAAGTAGTTTATGCTTAAGTTTATGTCTATGTTGTGTTATGTTTATGTTAGATGTGCACTAATAATACTCTAGTACATGTCTAATATAGTTATGTCTAGGATCTAGGGAGGATACTGTAACAGTACCCCCTTATTAGAAAGAGAATCCTTTACATTAGTAGTTCTAGCATTAGGTTGTCTTTATTAGAGTATAAGTTTAGTTTAGATAGGTATTAGGTGTAAAATTAGGTTACTGTAAAGTTTTTTTATAGAGCTTTTGTAGGTTTCTATAACAGTTTATTATATCTAGTCTATTTTATAAAGTATTTATAGATATGTTTTTTTTTATTAAACTAGATCTATTTAACATCTTCTATAATATATTTTAGTTTGTTATTTATAATAATAAGTTTAGATAGCAGGTTTAGCTGTTTAGGTAAATAGTTAGATTTAGAGGCTGCTTAGCGCAGCAACAATACATAGAACACAGGGTGTATCTTTATGCTGTTAGGTAGGATTAATTAGTAAGTGTGTAATAAGACTATATAAGCTACTGTAAAAAGGCTAAAGTTCTTTTAATTAAGTTTCTTTAATTATTAGTTTATTTAGATATTTCTAGTGTCTAGCTAAACCTTTTTGCTAGCTGCATATGCAGAGGCAAAGGTTTAGAATTAGTTTACATACTCTTGTTAAAAAGCTTAAGCCTATGTAAGCTTTTTATAAATATATTTAGATATATTTTAGATTTTATTAATAA